CTCATCAGGACTATCAGATGTGTTGGCACTCCCATGTCTTTAAGAGCACTCCATAGCCTTTCATGATCTTTATGAATGGTAAAATAATCCTAAACATGGTGGATGAAGAACAGAAAGTTGTCACTTCCAAGTGTGTCCCACTTCACTCAACAGTTGGGTGTACTTTTCCTGGCTAGTTAGTTCAGCATATTTTTGTTTTTAAATCCCATCCCTATTAAAAGCAAACATGGGGAGGAGGGGAGTGGTGGAATTAGCTATGCCAGTTCTAGACTTGCCTGGCTGAAGGTTCCATTGACGGCCTCATGGGGGAAATGGAGGGGGCTTGGATCCAATGGATCCAAATATTTGGGACCAATTGCCAGTACCAACCTCATCAGTGGTAGCTCCATACATGCAGACTTTTCTGCAGGGATAATTGGGGTCTCTCCAGTAGATGTGTTCCCATCTTTTAGTCTGACAGCAATGCAGAAACCTACACTTCACCCTCTGCATCCAGCCACTTGGGATTCTCTTAAAGCTTTTGCATGGTAATGGCTCCACAGATTTGTCAGTCAGTATTCAACTCTAATAATTACATGAGGGTGAGGGAGCAGTGCTTGAAAGTGATTACAACATGATGCTATCAGTCGCAAGGATACATGAGGACTAAAAGAGACAGATAAAAATGCAACACCTTCTGAAACAACAAAAGTGGTATTAATGGGTTTGTTTACTTTGATGTGTTGGAAACATGCACATTGAAATACTGTGCATATAATGTTGTGTTCATCTTTATAGAACATTAAAAAGAAGGAAAATAACCATCAAGTTATTCATGAAGAAGCAACACTTTCTGGGAGAGACCAGAAATTTCCAGCATTTTAATAAATTCCTGAGGAAAGGGATAGACCACAGAAACTGCAGGACTTGACCCCATGAAACCTGGAAATAGCATTTGACAGCTAACCCCACCAACATATACAGATATCTGCTGAAGCTCAAACAATAGACTTCTTTGGCTTTCCCCCCTCTTAGTTTTCTTTTGTCTTCAGTCCCAAGATCTTTTTGACATAGTTCTGGACATTCACATGGAGTTGTGGAGCAGTGGCAGAGAATGCTTCCACAGCAAGTGCTCGCGCAGTCTCTGAACCATTCACCATAGCCCGGTATATGGGAAGGGTGTACTTCTGCTTTCCCTGAAATGAAGCACAAAAGGACTTAGTGCCTCACAATATACTTAGAAGATGACTAGGAAATTCTTTTCCAATATCTATTATAAGATATCTCAGGTATCTATCCAGGTTTGTCCTTTCCTAGTTGCAAACAGCTTCTGCATAGTTATGTGTGTTTCAGTACACTGATGGGTGGACTGGAAAACTTCATGGAGGATGGAACTATCAATAAGGCTCCAGTACTCAGAGGGCAGTGTTCCTCTATGTCAGGGGTAGGCAACCTTTTAGAGCTGGGGGCCAGGTTGCTGTCCCTCAGACAATTGGGGGCCGAAGCACCCAAAATAAATAAATAAATAAATTTTTAAAAAATTTAAATTTTTTTAAAAATATGCATGCACACTCTCTCAGCCCCAGAAAAGCCATGGCAAAACCCCTGTGGAGATTTTGCCAAGAAAACCCCAAGAACAAGTAATAACAATAATCAATATCATCATGGCGGGTGGCAGCAGGGGGTGGTGGCGGTGGCGGCAGGACCGGCCTAAGGCCGGTCCAAAGGTCTCGGGGGGCCGCATCCAGCCCTCGGGCCTTAGGTTGCCTGTCCCTGCTCTATGTATTCAGCTGTTAAGTTAGCACAGGCAAGCATTGCTGTCACACTTATGTCCTATTTGTGTGATTCCCACAGGAATCTCATTGGCAATGGCCAATATAAACAGAATTCTAGACTACTACATTGGTCTCTGGCCTGATCTATCATGGCTCTTCTTACATTTTTATTGCATCACTCTTCTTTCCCCCCAGCCACAAACTAGCATCAGTTTTCAATTCAGTGGGAGAAATCTGTAAGATTAGCATGCTTAGAAATTATCAATATGGAAATAATTGAACCACAAACCTGGCTCTGAAGGAACTTTTTCACTTTGCCAAACTCAGCCTCATGATCATTCTTTAAAAGGATCTGGCACCAACGAAGACACAGCTCTGCATTCTCCGCTTTGGAGATTTTGGGGTACAAGGTACTCATCTTCTCAATGTTCCCTTAATACGAAGGACAGTTATGATCAGTTCCTTCCTCACAACATAAGGTAAATTTGCATAGCAAAACTAGGAATAACATGATACTCCCATTGTTCCTTCTAAATAGGTGCTGTGCTTATCTTGAGCTTTGCACAAATATTTCTCAGACTGTACCTTCTTGTACTGAGAGGCCCTTTGGACCACTGTTTATTTATTTTTTTCTATATACACTTACACCACCATTAAAGATTTCTTTAAGAAACAAGATTTCTGCATGTTTGTTATTTTTGTTTAGTTACCGCAAACATAAGAGATGCATGACTTTCTATTCCTGAAAGTCCCCATATGTAAAAAAGAATATCTCACCCTGTGCCAATTCCAAAGCCAAGTTACTAAATGTCATATACCAAACTCTAGTTCCTGGAGTCACCCGTTTGCATCCCATTAGGCCAGTATCTGTAATATTACTTTCTGTGATCACTCCTTCAGCATAGCAGAGGGAGTCTCACCATCTGGCAAAGGGGATTTCTGCAAGATCTTATCCAGGAAGTAGACCAGCTGGTATGTTTTCCAAGCAGAG